ACACTGCGTTCTCCTGCCCTCACCCTGCTGCCCCTGTGCTCGCAGCCCCTCACACTGCGTTCTCCTGCCCTCACCCTGCTGCCCCTGTGCCCGCAACCCCTCACACTGCATTCCCCTTCTGCCCTCACCCTGCTGCTGCTGGGTCACTAGTTTGCGTTCTTGTGTCCCCTGGGTTGGGCCTTGCTCTCCTGCATCGCTGCTGTGACCCCCCACACCCATGTTGCCTGTCAGATATGGCGGTTTGCATCCAGAGAGGAGACAGGGCTGCCCCAACAGCCCCGTGGGGACAGGCAGGAGGGGTCGTGGGCGGCCCCTCTGTGAGGTCAGTGAAAACACTGCCCTGTGCCCTCCAGCCTGCTAGGGAGCCACAGAGCAGGCCGATGCTTGCCCTGCACACCTGCATGTTGTACCTCTCCCCCGAGCGTGGTGGGCAGCATCATGCAGGGTTTGCTGAGAGACAACCTCATGCTCTGACTCGTGTTTGTCAAAGCCCCTCTGGCTGCCCAGGGAGGCCAGGCTGTCAGGAGGGGGCTGCAGCACCTGGACCAGGCTGGGGCCCCATCGGTCAGTTTGCAGAGAGATTTCCAGGTGAAATTGGCCTGCTGGGAGTGAGTGGGTATGAGGAGTAGGGGAGAGCAAAGAGCCAGGAGTCCCTTCCTGGCTTTGGTGCCGACAGGTGAGGGGTATTGAGGACTGTGAGAGGTTTTTAGATGGGGGGATGGAGGCCAGAGCAGGACCTTGGCCTAACGGCGTCAAGGCCGTGTTCTTTCTTCCACATGCCCCGTGCCCGCTGAGGCTCAGCCGCCTGGATGAGGACACCAGCCCCAGCCTTGGCCCTCACCCCCGGGAAGGCCCAGAAGAGAAAACGAGCAGATTCAGGGAAGCCTGAGACCCACGGCCCCCAAGAGATGGGTGGGTGGGCAGCGTCTGCACAGGTCTGTGCAAAGCAAGAAATCAGAAGGTCTGCTCTGGGGCACCCCCTCATGCAGATGCAGCTGGCTCCCCAGCCCCTGTTTTTCTGCTCACATCTCCCTGCAGCCTCCAGAGCACCACCCCCTCCGCCAAGGGGTCCTTGGCGGCCCCCTGACGCCCGCCTGGGAGCCGCGCACCTCCAGCCCGCGCCGAGTCTAAACAGGCACAGGAAAACGCAGCACATGTGAAAGCCATAGATGCGGACGAGTGCAGGCCCGAGCGTGGGGCCCAGATCCCGGCCCACCTGGCTTGAGCGCCGGCCCAGTAATGTCTGACATGTGTTCAGTTGTTTGGGAACCTGCCGCTGTAGCAGCTCGCCTGGCAGGGGCTTTGCTTTCTGGGCACATTTTAAATCAAGCCGAGCCGCCGGCCCTGGCACACGTGGAGATCCCCTCAGCCCCCAGCCCACCCGCCAGTTGGAATGTGAGACCCGCAAGGAGGCAGAGGGAGGCCTCCACCGCCAGGGAGACAGCAGCCCCTCTCGTCTCCTTCCACATGTGCTGAAGTCGTTTTCCTGGCTGCTCACAGAACCCTGAGAGGGTAGGCCTGGGTCCTCCTTCCTGGCACAGCTCTGGGGCGGCCGGCCCCGCACACAAGGCTTGCGTGCCTCAGGCCAGGCCGCTGCCACCTGGCCTGCCCTCCCCTGGCAGCTCTCCCTGCCTGCCCCAGACCTCCCTTCCAGCTGGTCCCACTCCTTTTCCTAAATGCGGTGCAGGTTGCCAAAAAGAAATTCAGCAGCAAGCTGTCTGTCCACCCTCCTGGCCCAACTGGCCTCTAGAGGATTGGTGGCGGCCCCGTGTGAGGCCGGGAGTTCATTCTGCAGCCCGGCAGAGGGTCATACACTCCCTTGTATTCACAGCAGACGTTAGAGGCTAGCAACCCAAGGGCCAAATCCAGCCCACTGGTGTGTTGTGTCTGGCCCATGATGGTGTGTGTGATGCTCTGAATCAACATTTAAAATCAGGAGAGTGCATGTAAAAATCTGCATTTCTGGCTACTTTTGAAGAATCAGAAGGTCCAGTAGCGGTGGGTTGAGGTCCTATGTTTCAAGACTATCCAAAGCGCTAGAACTTGCTGCAGGCCCCACCCGCCCCTGTCACCCCACTGTCCCTCTCACTGCTGGCATTTGCCTCTGCCACTCAACTGAGCCCTGACATCTGCTCCCTGGGTGTTGAGCATTCCTCGGCCCGCTGGACGTGTGAGGCAGGGGATGCTCAGAGAAGATGGAGGAGCCGCCCGGGCTCCTGATTCCATGTGCCTTCTGACTGGGTATCTCCTGGACCCCTCCTGCCCAGGCCTCTTGTCAGTGCCTGCCTTGATGTTGCTGTGTACGCAGCAGCCTGATTCTGGGGCCCAAGATCTCTGTAGAAACTGGACCCAGGGGCTCTGCCTTGGGAGCAGTCAGTGGTGCCAGGCTCCCTGCAGTACTGGGCTGAGCAGAGCTGCCGGGGTGGCCGAGGGGAAGTGTAGGCGTGAGCAGGCTTGCCTTCCATGGATGACACAGCCCCAGTGAGCAGCTGCCCTGGGTGGAGTGAAGGCTGCCCGTCACCTCTCCTCGGTGTGTGCCCGCTGCGTTCCCACCGGCCCGCGAACCTGCCGTGTCACCTGCTGGAACCAGGCCGATCTGGTGCCCTCAGCAGGATGGGCCTGGCTCCCCAGGCTGAGTCAGGCACCTTCACCCAGCCTTGACTGAGGGCCAGACTCTCTTCAGAGCCTGCTCTTGACCTGTTTAGGGCCTCACCACAAGGGCGGCTCTTATCTCCGTCTCGAGGGCAAGGAACCTGAGTCTGAGGGATCAGGCCAAGCCCCAAGGGCTCCCTCGGCTTTGGAGGCTTGTTGCCTGCCTGGCTCAGAGCCCTAGATGACCTGTCAGGCCCCAACTGTTTCCACACTGAGCTTGACCTCCCTCAGCTCCGTCACAACAGATGTATCCAGGGATTGGATTGCTACGGGAGGGGCAGGGGGTGAGGGAAGGGGCAACAGAGAGCCCCCAGCAGGAGCTCCATCAGGAATCAGTGTGCTGGAAGAAAATAAAGAGTAACTGAGTTTCTAGCTTGGGCAGCCTGGTGGGGGTGGTGCGGCAGCCTGAGGAGTTCATGAGGTCGGGGGAGAAGGACGTGGCTGTGAGATGTGGGGAAGGGGTCACCAGATACACGGGTTCAGGGGCCAAGAGGAGATCTGGCTGAAGCAGTTACAGGAAGGGGCACGTTCTCCGAAGGTGGGTGAGGAGAGCCATGAGGTTCTTGAAGCTAACCAAAACCCAAGCCAGTTTCGGCAAAAAAGGGGATTGATTGTCTCTGGAAACCAGGAAGTGCCAATGTGGCTGGATTCAGGGCCAGGTGCTGCCCCTCCCCCTCAGCCCGATTCTCTAGCCTGCCTTTCCCCTTGTGGCCACAGGATGCCCCACACACAGCTCCAGACCTCCTCTCTTGGAGTTCCATCAAAAGTCCTGGGGTAGCCTCTCATGGACCAGCCTGGTCACATGTCCACCTGGGGGCCAATTACGTGGCAGTCCAGAGGCAGGAAAGTGCTGATTGGCAGGGACTGCGGGACATGCCCCTCCTGGAGGGATGGCAGGGTCAGCCGGGAACGTGTTGTTCAGCACAGGCGACGGGTAGAATGGAGCCCATGCAGAGCTGAGGACCCTGAGGTCAGGTATTGGGGCCTTGGAGAGGACACCCTGGGTTTGGTGGTCAGGACATGCCTACTGGCTTGTGTCTGAGCAATTAGGCTGTCCCCAGCAGTGACCGTGGGTGTGTGAGTGGCCCTCCGGAGGCTGGAGTCATGCCCAGCCTCCCTCTCTCCCATCTTCTCTTTCAGGGATGAGTACACCAGGCTCCTCGCCGCAGCACCGCGCCGCTGGCGTCAGCCCGCTGTCCCTGAGCACCGAGGGGAGGCGGCAGCAGGCTCAGCAGGTGTCACCCACCCTCTCCCCGTTGTCACCCATCACTCAGGTGCGAGGGCGTGGTGGGGTGGGGGAGACGGGCCCGGCTCTGCCTCTGGGAGGCCTCCCACTCGTTTCAGGAGGCCGCAACATCCTGAAAACATTCTCAACATCTTTGGCTTTTTGTCAGACTTTCAAACGCACAGGAAATGCATTAATCAGTGCCTGGAGTCCCCTGTGCCCGTCACGGCTGTTAGATCTGACGGCTGTTTGCTTATGGCCATGTGACTGGGCGCTCTTTGTTATGTTATTTTCTCTTCCTTCAGATCTAGTTGAAGTTTTCCAAAGTAAAATGTTTAGAGAGGTTTTTTCCTTTCGGTTTGCTTCATTTGCCTTTTTGATAGTTCGTGTGTGTTTTGGGATTGGCCGTGGTGTCTGGGTTATCCGGGTGCTGATGTGTGATCGGTCATGATACTTTCCTACAGTCCTTTTCATTTCTGTGGAGTCGGTAGTAAGCTTCCCACTTTCATCTCTGGTTTCCGTAATTTGAGTCTTTTCGTTTTTACTTAGTCAATCTAGGGTTGTAGAACGAGTTAGGAACTGTTCCCTCCTCTTCTGTTTTTTGGAAGAGTTTGAGAAGCATTGGTATTCATTCTTTAAAAGTTTGGTAGAATTCACCAGTGAAGCCAGTGGGGTCTTGGCTTATCTTCATTGGGAGGTTTTTTGATTACTAATTCAACCTCCTTTCTTGATACAGGTCTACTCAGATTTTCTGTTTTGTCTTGCGTCAGTTTTGGTAATTTATGTGTTTCTAGGAATTTGTCCGTTACACCTGTTTTTTAAAAATCACTAATAGATAAGATTTATGTTGTTGTTTGTTTTGTAACACAACCTCAATGGCGTTACCCACCTACAGCAAAATTAACAGGACTCTTTCATCCCTCCTATGCCCGGCCGGGCCTCTGTTCCTTCGTATCTCTGTCTGCTTGTATGGTTTTTGTTCCCATCAGGGTCCAGACAGAGCCATGGGTGGCTCCTGGCCGTTGTGTCTTCAGTCTGTCCATCTCTGACCCCTGCCTCTTCTCCCTCTCCCTTAGGCCTGCCTTCCCTTTCCAGAAACTCCTTTTTGGTCATGAACCCACTGCTGATTAGAGGCCAGGCATTCTGCTAAGTGTTACGTCCTGTAGGTCCTGGGCATGTCCAGCCTCCCTCAGGGAAGAAGCCCCGCCTGCCCCAGGGACTGTCTGCACAGACTCATTGACGTTGAAAACATCCCTCTGGTTATCTTCCTCTCTCCAATTCAGAGGGCCCGAGCTGGTCATAGCCGTGTGACCACACCGGGGCCTCCGTCAACTGCATCCTCTCCAGCTTCCCCAGGGTGGGCCAGGCTGTGGGATGGGGGTAGGGGCTTCCTTACCCCCAGGACCCCAGAGAGGCTAGGTGCCGCTGCCCACTGTCTACCAGTGTGTGACACCCGTGCCTACGCACAGCGGGGAAACTCCAGCTCAGGGAGGCCGGGGACTGCCTGAGTCTCAGTGAGGACGGAGGGTGGCCCACCTCTCACAGTGAGGTGAGGGTGAAAGAAGGGCTTGTTGGGTGCAGGGCGCAGCCAGCTGAATAGCTGCCCGGGCCCATCCAGCTGCAGCCTAGACCTCTGTGGCCCTGGGCCGGGCCTGCCCTCTCTGGGCCTGTGCTTCCCTCTCCAGGGTCTGTGCATCCCTTTGTTGGTCCATCCTGTTGTTGCTGAGCGTGGGGGCCCCGGGGACCAGGTGCTCGCCACCCCCCGCCTCCTGCGCCTCCTGCCTGACGCCCTCCTCTCTCCCCAGGCCGTGGCCATGGATGCCCTGTCTCTGGAGCAGCAGCTGCCCTACGCCTTCTTCACCCAGGCAGGCTCCCAGCAGCCGCCACCGCAGCCCCAGCCCCCGCCACCACCGCCACCCACGTCCCAGCAGCAGCCGCCCCCACCACCGCCACAGGTGCCCATCGGCCTCCCCCCAGGAGGCCCCCTGATGCCGAGTGCCAGCTTGACACGGGGGCCCCAGCTGCCCCCACTCACAGTCACAGTACCATCCTCTCTCCCCCAGTCCCCCCCAGAGAACCCGAGCCAGCCGCCGATGGGGATCGACATCACCTCGGTAAGCCTGGGATGGGGTCCCCTGCTGGGGGGCTCACGCGGGAGGAGCCTAGGGCTGTGGGAGGCCCACATTGGGCACCCAAGGCCCGAGGACGGTCAGGCGCCTGGCTGCATCTGCAGCCAACTCACAACTCCACTGCAAGGCCAGCTTGGCCAGGGGTTGGGGCTGAAGCAAATGCTGCCTGGGGCCGGGTGCTTGGTGGGGGTTTCTGCCTGGAATCCTCAAGCCAGGTTTGACACCCCGTGTATAGATGGGGAAACCAAGGCACGAGCAGGGGTCAGTTGCCTCAAACTTCACCCAAGATGAGCTACCCTGTGTCTGGCTGCCAAGCCCTCCCACATGGCCCTTGATGCCCCCACCTCAGCCCTTCCCACCCGAAAGGGGCTTCCTTGGAGGCAGGGAGAACACAGAGCTCTCAGGCCCTGGGGAGGGGACTTATGGGACCCAGAGGGACCGAGATAAGCTTGGAGAGGAAGAAGGGATAGAGCCAGCCCTGTGGTTCCTGCAGCACAGTGCCTGGGCTGGGGGCTGCAGCTCAGATCGTGGGACCCCCTACCTGGGGCTGGGCTCATGGTGACAAGTGCTAGGTTTTGGCCTCTGCACCCCCAAACCTTCCTGATTGTTCACACTTTCACCCGGTTGCCCTGGTGAGAGGGGGGTGGTCGCAGCTACCTTTGGGCACATCCAGAGGAACGAGGACTCATGTTTGGGGCACAGTGAGCCTTCCCCACTCGGCCCTTGGCTGCCAGCCCCAGGATAGTGTCATCAGAACATCATGTGCTCTGCAAAGAGCAGGCCCCCCCTGAGCTGGGCGGGGCAGGCCGGTGACCTAACAGGTAGAGACCCAAGTTTCCAAACTGCTCTGATCCCTCAGAGGGCAGACCCCAGGAGTCTCCTAGATGAGAAAGTGCCCAAGCCCTTCCTTTGGCTGAAGTGCTGCAGGTGTGGGAGTAGCTCTGACAGTGGGGCCTGCCTGTGGCACCCAGTTCCCTGACTCCCTCTGACAGTGAGGCCTGCTTGGGAGCCACGCTGACGTTGGAGGCATGGCGCCTGGGCCGGCGCACAGATAGCTCCTCCCCAGGCTCTCAGATCAGGGCCTCTGTCACCCGGTCTGGCCCAGGCACTGCCGGTTTCCTCGGGGCGCGGGCTCCGGTGGCCTCCTTCAGGAGTTTCTGTAGACTCGCTCATGCCAGAAGAACATCCTTCTGGACATTTTCCTCTTTCCATCTCAGAAGGCCTGAACTGGTCATTGCCAAGTGACCACACTGGCACCTCTGATACCCACATCCTGCTGATGAAGCCCCCAGACCCAACCGGGCTCAAGCCCCATCCCAAACTGCTCGGAACAGCCACTGAGGAAATGGGGGAGACGGAGCACTGATGGGGCCCTGGGCCAGCTGTCTGGGCCTCAATGAACAACAGGCTCAGAGGGGTCAGGCAGCTTGCCTGGAGGTGCACAGCAGGTCCTGGCCGGGCTGGGACCAGAGCAGAGTCTAATTCCAGGTCCTGGCCCAGCCCATTGTGCCCCTGAGGGGCATTTGAGAAGCCAAGGTCCTCTGTCCTTCGAGTGAGGAGAAGGCTGCCCCTGGGAGGTCTCTGGACAGCATTACCCCATCAGGCTTGTCTTAAGTGACACCAGTGATTGTGACTGCCTGGTGCTGGAGCCTTGCAGTGTGCCCTAGACGGCCTCTGCTGTCAGTCCCACCGCCCCTCGAGGCGGGTGGGATGTGCCAGTGCACACAATGGGGCTGAGAGAGCCAGGGACCCACGCTGAGTTGAGAGCAGAAGGCAGCACCCAGCTGCCTGGCCCTGGGCCTTCCCTGCCTACATGTGTGTGGCTGTACTGTGTGTACACATGTGTGCAGCTGTGTGCACATCTGTGTGGGTCCTCTGAAGCCTGCTGAGTTGAGGCTGACCCCTTGGTCACCTCTCCATGGCTGTCCAGGGCGATTGTGTGGCTGGTTCTGGCTTCTCCAACCACAGCCCCCACCCCCTGGGAGCCGGGTTTGCAGGCAGGTCTCACAAGGCCTGGGGCCCAGGCAGGGCTCGGGACCACACCTCCTGCAGATGCCCTGGGTGCTCTGCTTACCTGAGGGGGGAGCCCTGTGGGGAGGCTCGGCCGGGAAGGGCCGGGCCTGGGGCCCCTGGCGCCCTGACCTGTCTGTCATCGCAGGCGTCCGCTCGGCAGCAGTACCGCACTAGTGCCGGCTCCCCGGCCAACCAGTCTCCCACCTCGCCCGTCTCCAATCAAGGCTTCTCCCCCGGGAGCTCCCCGCAAGTAAGGGACGTCGCCTTCCCTCACCAACACCCCGCGCTCCAGCCTCGCTTCGCACCCCATGTGCCCCCCACCTGCCTGCCCGCCATCTGTGCCTTGTGCCTCACTCCATCCCATCTCGTCCACCCCACTGGGGCTGGGAGGAGAAGGCGTTGCCCAGTTCCCTCTGTGGTCTGTGCCGAGCCCCTGCTGGGGGTGGCGGGCTCCTCACTCGCGTTGGTGACCTTAGTGTCAGCCAGCCCCCCAGCTCCTTGCTCAGTGGCCAGCGACACCCCCATGTACAGCTCAGAGCACGCATCAAGCAGCTTGCAGCCCGTCCCCACCCGTGTCTGCCCGCCCTGAGGCCTGGCCCTTTGAGGCTGCCAGATGTCGGGTGCCCCGCCTGCTTTAGGGCACAGCTGAGGAGCTGAGGTGACAGCTGACCTGTATTGGGGGCTCCAACTCTTCAGCGCCCTCTCCGCCCCCACCGCCCTGCAGGAAGGCGTGTCCTCCCCAGGACGCCTCTCTGAGCAGCACTGCAGCCTCTCAGGGGTCCTTGTCCCCATCCCACAGATGGGGAGACTGAGGGCAGGCCCCAGGAGACAGGCAGGGCTTGACCATGTCCATCAGACTCGGGTTTTCCCCCCACACGCAGCACGATTGTACCCTGATCTTTGTCACACACACGCACACACCCCGTCCGGGTTCCTCAGAATTCCCCTGAGCCCAGTTTGGCCCATGGCTGCATTCTATCCAGTACGTCCCGTAAGAGGAGAAGGGGTACCTGCAAAGTTGATAGTCGGGCCCGAAATCTCTCACTCTAGCAGGAGAGCCTCCCTGGAACCCCACCACTCTGTCCCGAAAATGTCACCAAGCTGAGAAACTCCAAGGAGACACTGCAGTACCCAAGGCCTGAAGCCTCATTCTCTGCCAGGGGGTCGATAGCGTTTTCTTTCCCGTCTGGAGCCATCCTGCCAGACAGGACCATGCAGGAGTGACACCCGGCTCCCTTGCCCCAGGGGACATGTCCTACTGTCCCCATGTCCCCAGCTCTCAAACATGCACTCCAAGCTTGGCCCTGTGTGTTGGGACAGTGGGTGTCCCGCTCACGGACGGCCCCAGGCTGCTCTCATGCTCTATCTGCTATGGGAGGGGCTCTACCAGGGTGCTTCCTCCACCGCTCTGGTGCCTGGGGTCCTGCTGGGACTGTTGGCGGGCGGCCTGCTCCACAGGCAGGTGGGGAGAGTGGCGGTGAGCTCAGGGCAGGCTGGGGGTCAGCCTGGTGTCCGCGCGGTCTGGGTCCATCCATTCCGGCTCTGAGCACTCGTGGCTCCCGGTGTCTGGTCTCGTCACGTGGCACCATGGGGTGTGGGGGCAGGAGAAGCCAGTTCAGGCAGGGGAAGTGGCAGGTGGGGCCAGTCCCAGCTGGGCAGCCCCACCTGGGGCCAGTCCCTGAGTAACATCCCTTTTTGCACGTGAGGCTGGACGGGAATTCAAGGGTCAAGCAGATTGTCTCAGTAGAGATACGCCTGAGCCAGAGTGGCTTGGTCCATCCCAGGTAGAAAGCGTGTTGCCGTTGCGTCAAGCCCACATCTGTGTGTCCGTCTGTCTATCGTTTGTGTGCTGGCGAGGGAGGCAGGCAGCTCAAGTGGCTGTGAGGGTGGGGCTGTCAGGCTGTCTGGACTCAACCAGCAACAAGGGCCTAAGAGGGCCAAGGAGTTCGCTCGAGGGCGGATCATGCTGGGCGGAGGCCAGACCTACCTTCCCGCTGTAGCTGGGTCCCTGAGGTTGTGCTCAGTGGCCTTTTGGGCCCAGACCTCCCCACGCCTCCCGGGCCCAGCCAGCATCTCCCCTGGACACACAAGGCAGCCACCCTGGCCCGCCCTGCTTGTCTGTCTGGCTGCACCCTGGGCCTTAGGCAGCTAGAATTGGTCCTGTGTGCTGCCTCCCCCTTCCATTCTGAGTGGACCTTTCTGGCAGACGCTCATGGCAGCCTCATAAGAGAAACCTTAGCCTGGGGTCCCCCTGCGTGTGTCGGGCCTCTCTGAGGCCAAGGCCATGGGGACGGGAGCAGGCGCCCCGGAACAGACCTGTCTGCTCCTTCACGAGTCAACCCAGCCGCAATCTTGCGGCCCCTTTTTCCAAACATGAAGTGGGCGATATTTAGGACAAAGATGGTATTTTTGCCACATGGGCTATTTTTGTTTCTATTTTTATCCCACTGACCACCCGGAGCAGCCAGTGGGTTTGTGGCCAACCCCTCTCTGGGATGGAGGCCGAGACTCAAGCATTGGCCATTGTCAGAGCATGTGGGGACCTTTCTAGAAGAGGGAGCTCAAAGGGAGCAGGCCCAGGGCTTTCGGTCCATGGAGACTTACCGGCGTGCGTGCTGGGCACACCCGGGAACGGCTGCAGTGCAGCGACTCTGAGAGTCTCCTTGTCCTGCAGAGGAGGGAGCAGACGCAGGGTCCGGGCTGGGGAGGTTTCCCGGGCCCTGTGCTTAAGGGGCAGCCGGGCCACACCCCCGTCATCCCTCTCCTCCCTTCCACGTCCTGCCAGGCTCCATCCTGCCATCTCCCTGGTGGCATCGTGGGAATGGGCAGGGGCTCCAAACTCCTCTTTTGGGCATCTCCATTGCCTGTGAGGGTCCCCAGCCCCCTGTTCCTCTCCTGGGGCAGCCTCTTCCCCTGCCCCCACTGGCCTTGAACAAGCGGGGGTGGGGCTGCCCGTCCACCCACGAGCCCTGGGGTCTCCTAGACAGGCAGCCACGGGTGGGCAGGGGGCTTTGTATGTGCCTGTCCTGTGCTCGCTCGGCCGGCATCTGGCTCTGTGCCCCCACCCTGTCCACGTGTGTGTGCAGCCTGCCACCCCGGCCATTGTCTCCCGGGGGCCTGACAAGGTCGCCAAGCGCACTTCTTGTCCTGTACGTCCAGAGCACCTCCTGCCTTGGCCCAGTCACATGCTTGCTTCTGGGGCCCATCAAGCAGGGCTCCCCATCCCTGTGGCCCCTCATCTTCCATCCAACAGAAAGGGGGTCAACGACACCTGGGATCAAGGAGAGGAGACGGGGGACAGCTTTGGGGGATATCAGAGTACAGAGGTCCCCCGGAGCAAGCAGAAAGAAGCAGTGATCCTGAGATTGGCGGGGCACCCCTCCATCCCAGAGAGTGTGGGCTCTCCCGGGGGCCCTGAGATAGGTGTCGTCAGCCTGCTTGGTCCAGAGCCTCCTCCCTGTGGGAGCATCCAGCCTGTGGGAGCCCCCCCGCAGCAGCCCTGCCCCACCTGGTCTCGGGGCCATGACGACAGAGGCCTCTCTTCCGTCTGCAGCACTCTTCCAGCCTGGGCGGCGTGTTTGGGGACTCGTACTACGAGCAGCAGATGGCGGCCAGGCAGGCCAATGCTCTGTCCCACCAGGTGAGCGGGCGCCCGGGCTGTAGCGCCCACCGCAGACGCCCGCCAAACCCTACCCGCCCCTCAGGCGTGAGCTTCGCTCCTAGGCGCCCTTAGTCTCCAGGCCTTGGAGGGGTGGCTTGGCTTTGCCTCCCCTGGCATCTGCACCCAGCCCGCAGAACAAGGCCAACTGCAGAGCAGGAGGAAGGGCAGGTGGTGAACACTGGCAGGGACGGGCAGTGGCTGTCACTGTGGCACCTCAGTGTGGGCCGTGCATGTGGGTTTGCCGGGAGGTCATGCTGGCTTTGCCTGGAGGCCAGGGTCAGTGGCTTACGGCATGGGAGGGGTTGGCCACTGCCTGGAGCTGGTCACCCATTCATCCATCCATCCATCCATCCATCCATCCAGCAAGCTCTGAGGGGGCCGTGTGCAGGCAGGCCTAGGTGGGTTCAGAGATGGGGAGACCCCGGGGCAGAGGGACTCATGCTTGGCAGCCCCAGGTACACCGGAGCACGGGTGCTGGGCATCCTGCAGAGGAGGTGGTCCCAGTGGCTGCAAAGCAGGCAGCCAATGGCAGCCAGGGGCTCGGTGGGGCCGGCCTCATGCCTGTGTGCTTCCCCTCCCAGCTGGAGCAGTTCAACATGATGGAGAACGCCATCAGCTCCAGCAGCCTGTACAGCCCGGGCTCGACGCTCAACTACTCACAGGCGGCCATGATGGGCCTCACGGGCAGCCACGGGAGCCTGCCAGACACACAGCAGCTTGGCTACCCCAGCCACAGCAGCATCCCCAACATCATCCTCACAGGTGAGGCCACCTGTGCATGGCATCCTGGTTGGGGGTCTTGGTCACGGTACCCCTGGGGGGCCTGGCAGCTGTGAGAGGCTTCAGCCCCAGGGGAAATGGAGCCCCAACCCTTGGCATGGGCCTGAGGAGGCCAGACACTCCCCCAGCCTTGACTCACTGCTATGGGACAGGCCAGGGGGACACACACTGGACCCTGGCCCAGGCGTTCAGCATCCCGTGCTCAGAGTGAGAACAGGACAGAGTCAGTCCACCACCCAGGCCCCTGAACCCTGTTAACTGACTGCTGGGGATGCAGGTGACCGGAGAGTGTGCCCTGCTGGTGGGGCTTGTCACGTGCGGCGTACAGACATGTAACAGCTCGCACATACTGTGACCAGCATCCCTGAGCGGCCTGAACACAGCACCCAGGCGCCCAGGGAAGTGCACAGCACCCTGTGTGAGGAAGTCTCTGCTCTGTCCAGCACAGAACCCAATCCCTCTGATGCCTCCTCTCTCATCTTCCCCCAAAGGTTCTGGGTTTTACTGAAGAAGGAAGTAATTTCCTTATAGGCCAGGGCTGTCGTGAGATTGAGGGTGATGCCCACTGACATCTGCAGGATGGAGGGTTCCATCCCCAGAGCCCCCGAGGCCTGGGCTTCAAGTGCAGACCCACTGCTTTCTCCCCACCTCAAGAGTGTGGCAGTGTCTGCAGTAGATGCTCTGGGGGCAGTCGCCTCAGACTCATGAGAAGGATCACGGCCCTGTGATTGCCCAGGAAGACCAGGACTTTCATACCGATTTCCCAGATCAGGAAACTGAGGCCAAGGTCTCACTGCAAGTAGAGGAGGGAGCCCAAGTTTGAACCTGGGTCTCTGTGGGGGAACTCGGGCTTCTCTCCAGCCCACAGGGAGGGCCCCTGCTGCACACGCACACGTGTGCTGCAGCCTGCTTCTCGGTAACGCACACGGAGGAGGAGACTGTCGGGCAGAGCCTAGAGGAGCAGGAGAGGCCCCTGCTCCGGCTAGGTCACGCTGACGTCTGTGATGCAGCCCTCAGCCCAGAACTTCCCAGCCTCGGCATGGCTGACATTGAGGCTGGATTTTTCTCTGGGGGCGGGGGGGGCCGTCCTGTGCACTGTGGGGTGCTGAGCAGTGTCCCTGGTCTCCACCCACTAGATGCCAATAGCATCCGTCCCCCCGTCGTGATAACTACAAGTGCCCCTAGACATTGCCACTATCCCTGGAGCACAAACCCCCCGGGTCAGCGCCCCTGGTGTGGCCCAGACCCCCCTTCCCTGAGCACTGACGGGGGCTGTGGAGGCACAGGGCAGGTGGGCCAGGGTCCAGGGCCAAGCTGAGGCTTCTGTCTGTCCCATTCCCCCAGTGACAGGAGAGTCCCCACCCAGTCTCTCTAAAGAATTGACCAGCACACTGGCCGGGGTTGGCGATGTCAGCTTCGACTCTGACAACCAGTTTCCCCTGGACGAACTCAAGATTGACCCCCTGACCCTGGACGGACTGCACATGCTCAACGACCCTGACATGGTCTTGGCTGACCCGGCCACCGAGGACACCTTCCGGATGGACCGCCTGTGAGCGAGCGGCACACCACTGCCCAGCCCTCGGCTCCATCACCCCGCTGGTCAGTGGTCCCGACGGCATCTCCCGCAGCCCAGGGACGGCCATGCTCTGTCCCTCGCAAACGGCCGAGCTTGTGATTCTGAGCTTGCAATGCCGCCAAGCGCCCCCTGCCCTGCCCCCCCGGCTGTTCACCTCCCTCGTGAGGCTGAGCGTCACCCCCACAGACCCTCCCTTCGCGTGCGCTCTCTTGCCCCCCACCCCGGGCCATGAGCCGTCCCCCCAGAAGATGTGGAAAGCGTGTTGGGCAGGGCCACTGGCCTGGGGGGGGCGCCGTGGTCCTTGGCGGTGGTGGGCTGAGGTGCATTTTCCGACTGTTGTCCAGCTCTCACTGCCTTCCTTCGTCCCCGGTGCCCCCACCCGCCTGCCACCCCCAGCCCGTGGTTAGGTAGAGAGCCAGCCCCACTCTGCCGAAGGGAGGAGGCGCCAGAGAGAGAGGGGCGGACACAAAGCAAAATAAACACTATTTTGACTGCCGTCTTTTATATTTCTGAGCACACACGGAACACCCGAGTCCGGCCCGTGGTGGAGGAACGCCGAGGTGTGGACAGAGCATGTGGCGCAGCGGCATCTCCCAGGCCCACCCCCGCCTCGCCCACCCTGGCCGGGGCGCACGGGCCCGCTAGGGGCCGCACGTGGAGGCAGAGACGCCTTCTGGGGGTTTTACAGCTTGTTCTCATCTTCTCTGTCTTGTGGTCACCGTTACTGCTACGTAGAGAATGAGCCGGAGAGGGGTGGCCAGGGCGTTTTTGTTGTTTTCTTGTTCGCGTCTTTGGGTTTGCATTTACATTTTGGTTGTAGAGGAGTAAGTAGCTGACTCCTTCAAGCCAACACTTGCCTGAGAGCATGTTTTTATTCCACAAATCCTGCGTTATGTACTTTTAAGCTAACTGGAAGCAGTCCACTGCCAGCTGGCTCCAAGCTGTCTCCCTGGCCTTTTCAGCCTTGCCCCTCATCATCTCCGTACGGAAGGGCCCAGCGGCTGGCGGCCGTGCGAGGGGGCTTGTCCTGGCAGAAGCTCGCAGCGGTGGCTGGAGGTTTGTCAGCTACGGCCAAGTAACAGACTTCCAGGAAGGAGCCACGGCTTTTATGAAGGGTCTCGAGAAGACCCGGTGTGCCTGGCGCTCCAGACCCCGAGGCTGGCAGCACCTGCGGTCCCTCTGTTCGCAGATGCCCCAGAGACGAGGCTTTCTTCTCACCCCCACCCCGAGAGCCAACCCACATTCGTCCCCTCTGGCCACCCCTCTCGTAGCTCCTCCTGGCAAGGCTGGACTGGAAAGCAAGGAGCAGTGTGCATGTTAGTGGCACGTTTCCAGGTGCTTCTCAAAGTGCCTCTGGAGGCCAAGGGGACCGTCCCTGCGCCCTCCAGTCCCTGTGAGGGGGCGGCGGGGGTGGCTTTGTTTTCTGACGGCTGCTTTGAAATAGGAACCTCCGTTGCAATCCCTCCGAACTCTCATCTCAGCTCCCGCTTGCTCCACCGCCTGCAGCCAGGCTGGCACCTCCTGCCTGGTGCATTTCTCTGTGGTGTCCTGGCCACCGCCTCACCAGGGTCTTGGGAGCCCTGGCCTCTGTCTTTGGGAGCCAGATTTGATCCTAGCGACCATCCGTGTCATTCTGTCCAAGCAGCTGGGCGGCTGCAAGCGTGAGAGGGCCCCCCTCGGACACTACACCCCACCGCCGTCATCAGCTGGGGGCACAGTGTCCGTCCGTCCAGGTCAAGGGCCCGGCCTCTTACAGTGGTGGGAGCTGGGGGCAAAGAGTGGGGACTTTTTTTTTTTTTTTTAAAGAAAAACTACATGTACATAGAAGAGTTTGATTACCGTTAGACTTGTATGTAGAAATTTTTTTAAAAAGGCCTTAATAAAATTACAAGCGACCTTCCTGGATGCAATTTTCAAACAAGGCATTGGGGGCCCCATGAGGGAGCCTCGTCAGCCCGCACTTCCCGTCTGCCAGGCGTCCAGTTCTCAGAGCAGACGGGCAGGAGAGGAGGGGCATCCAGCCCCGTGGCCTGTTTCCAGTGTCCCTCGGCCGGAAGCACAGATGACGTTGTAGTAACATGGCCTCGGCCATAAGGGGCATTGGTGCAGAGCTTTCCCTGGGAGGGAGGCCCAGCTAGGAGCCCGTAGCCAGCTGTCCCTGTGTCCTCAAAGGGCTGGTTCTCACCCCTTCCTGGGTCTAGGCTGCCTCCTGGGGTCTGCAACAGGGGATTTTGTTTATTTCTTAAGTATTGCTTCTCTACTAAATATTCTTGAATTGCCAAGACTTGCTAAAACAAGACAGCCTAAGGGAATCAGCCCTTTGACTTGTGATGTGAAGATGCTGTGACTTCACGAAAGCTGCGCTGCGTGGGGGTGCGCCGGGGCCGCTGCATCGTGTGTACAGACCTGCCGCCTGCATCCTTGCTTGCTCGCTTGGGACAGGCCTGGATCAACCCACGTGGGGTCAGAGGCCCGGCCAGGCTGTCCCCCTGCTGTCACCCCCCAAGTACTCCCGGCTTCAGCTGAGCCCCTCAGCTGTGTACACCCTTCCCCCCGGGAGCGTGAGCTGCCCAGCATGTCCCACCTGCCTCTGTCCTCCAAGTCCCCAGGACAGTGAGCTTGTTCCCCCAGGTGGCTGCAGGCCAAGGGTGGAGCCTGGGGTCAGCCCTGCTCTGTGTCCTCTGGGAAGAAGGTTTATGCCTCTGCTTCCCCCAATCAGTGTCACCACCCACAGTGCCCAGGGCTGCTGTGGGGTGGACAAGGAGGGGTCTCGTCGGGATCATGTCCCCATCATAGACACCCATGCCGGACTCCACCCCCACGTGCCCTCACCGCTGGGGAGACAGGCAGCACTTTGGGGCATCCTGCAGCCCTCTCCCCACTCTCCTTGCACACCCTGCCCCCCCCCGGCACTCTTCTGGGTGGGAAGGGTGGGTGCCAGCCCCTTGGGGCAGGGGACCCTGAGACCCTCAGTGGAAAGTCAGAGGGCAGGTCGACAGCAAAATTGGGGCTTCAGCAAAATTTGGGACCCACAACCGGCGGCATTCAGAAACCATCCAGGTTCCCCTGCAGGGACAAGCCCAGCAGAAGGGGCCCTAATTGTGGTGGGTCCTGCCCCTGCCCCCACCGTGGTCCACAGGGCTCCCTGGGACCAGACCCGTGAGGCCCGAGGGCGAGGGCAGGCGGGTGTTCGGGGCCCTTTCCCCAGCGACACCTCCACACAGACCTGCCTCCTTGCTGGCCTCGGGCCTCCCACATGCCCAGCGGGTGTGCACTGGGGGCGGGGGCCCTGCCTCAGATGCTCAGGCCAGCTTTTGTGGCCTCTCTCTGCCATTATCTTCTTGTGGGTTTGGGGGGCCGGGAAGGAGGGTTCTGACATCGTCGGTGAGTTTGGCCTGATTTCTTTGGGCGGCCAAGCTCCTGGGAGGACACCTAGCTGGGCGGGCCCCGTCGCAAGGCCTGTGTGTGACTGTGGGGTGGGTAAGGACAGCTGTCCATCTGTCAAATGCTGTGAGACCCCCCACGTGGAGGGCGAGAGGCCTCATGTCCATCTGTTCGTCCATCTTGCCAGGGGCGGTGTCTGGTTTGGGGGCTGTGTGCCTCGTGCTGGCTGCAGCCTGGTCAGGTGGGATGGGAGCAGGTGCAAGGCCCATGGGGGGCTGGCGGGGCTTGGGCAGCAGGGGTAGCCCCATCTCTGCCCAGCATCCTGAGCCTGATGAGCCCCCATGAGTGACTATCCCTAGAGGGACCCTGGGGGGCTACGGACACATGGGAACATGCCCCCCTTCCCAGGCCTCCACATCTCGGCCAACCCTGAGCTGCTTTGTAACCAAACATCCTTCCAAACCTCTGCCCCCAACTGGGTTCTGTGTTCTGCAATTCCAAAGAGGGCATCCTCATAGGGCCCGGGTACAGGCTGTGTGGGGAAGCCTGGTGGTATTGGGGGGGTCTACCCCTGCGGCCTTGACAAAGCAGCGGCAGCATTGGTTACCCTCCCTGGGTTCTGATGAAGCCATAGTCAGAGGCCAGGGGGACCCTCGGCGTGGGGATGGGGTGCGGAGGCTACAAGGTCAAGGGTACTGGGCGCCCCCAGTCCTGGCTCATCGCTCCTGCAGGTGGCGCTCCAGGTGAGGGAGCAGAGGTCGCCTGAACCCTCCCCACACGCCTGCAGAGCTGGGCAAGGACTCAGTGCCCAGCCCACCCAGGGATGCCCGCCTGGGGTGAGTGGGCAGCTGGGTCTGTTTCTGTCCCTGTTCTTCTTGAACCCCGGGCCCCTGCCTCCTGGGGGTCTCGTAGCATGTGATTAGGGGACCCTGGGACATTCCCCTGCCAGGCTCTGGCCTGCCAGCTCTGCCTGAGCCAACTCTCTCCGTCTTCCCTCAGCCCTCCGCCTCCAGGAGTCCTGGCTGGGTGGGGCTCAGGCACCTTTCATAAGCCTGGGGCTGCCACAGGCGACTGGCCGCAGACACAGTTCTGCCCCCAAGGCTGTTACCTAGGAGAGGGAGGTGGGGTGACCTGTAGCCCCAGGCCTGGGCGCTGGGGTACTCCAGAGGGTATGGGGGGCGGGAATGAGACCCTCAGTTTCCCTCCTATCATTGGCTCAGACTCGTGAGTTTCAGGGCCCCAGGGTCCTCCCAAGCAGGATGACGGGCAGGGGCTGGATGTCAGGGTGATGCTGGCTCCAGACGGCTCCCTCCACCTTTTGCCCTCCTGGCCAGCCCCCAACACCCTGCCCTGAGGAGCCAGGGACATGTGGAATGTGCAGGGGGCAGGGTGTTGCCCCCATCTGGAAGAGTTCTGGAATTTAGGGGCAGTCAATGCCCAGCCTATCCAAGCCTGTCAATTCTGACCTCTTGCCCACTGGGGACAAGAGGACACAGCCATGGCCTTCGCCACCAGGCCCCGGGAAGGAGGGCTTTGGCAGCTGAGGTCCACTGGCCCCGCCGTGACCCCTGTAGGAAACTTGCCCCCTGAGGGGCTGGGCAGCACCACAGATATATGCAAACCCGCCGGGTCCGAGCCCTGCCCCGCCTGTATCCCTCTGTCCCCAGGCTGGCTCTGCGCCCCCCAGCATGTACACTCTGCTGTGGACGTCCCATGGGCCATGCTTGGGGGAGCCCATGGCAGGCGGGGGCGGGCAGCTCAGGGTGCATTCGGCCGGCCCCTGCCCATCCTCTCTGGCGTGGACGCTTTTGTCTTTGTATCTTTGCATTCTTTGTAATGAAACGTAATAAAAACCCAGTGTTTTCGTCTGTGCCTCCTCCCGTTTTTTCTCGCCCCTCCCCCCACCCTGGGGATGAAACGTGGGTGTCAAAGGTGCAGCAGGTGGGAGCCGCAAACATGTGCGTGAACATGGACATGCAGGTGTGTGCCCCTCACACACACACTCTAGCTACTTGGGCCTGAAGCGTAGAAGGGGAAGGACCCTTCCCCCTTGCCCAGGATCCTGGGGCAGACACTCCAGGGTGGGGTTCCAGGCTTGTGACCACGAGTGGGTGAGATGCAGCAGCAGGCCTGGGGCCTCCAAGTCAGGCCGCTGGACCCCAGCCAGTCAGGAGGGGAGTCAGCTGCAGGTCCCCTCTCCGAGGCCTGGGTTTGGGGTCCCCAGCCCAGCCTTCCCTCAGGCCCGAGACCACCCTCACCCCGCTGCTGAGAACGCAGCCGGCCACTCCGCCGCACACACACTTTATTTGTTCTCTCTGAGCCCCTCTCCCTTCCCCCTCCTCCCCCCACACTGGCCGGTCACCCCTTGGGGCTGGGTGCTGAGTTCCTGGCCTGCCTTGAAGATGGCTCTGGTCCAGTGGTGGGTCCCCACCCCCATCCCTAGGCCTGCAGCAACCGCTGGGTCTCGTAGTCCTCGGGGATGGTGTCTGTGGAGAGAGGGCGGGTGGGTGAGAGGGGCGAGGCTGGGCAGGGGGGACTCCCCCACCCCCTGGCAGAGCTCCCCCTCACCATTGCAGCGGTAGCGCAGGTTGGCCCAGATGATGTTCTCCTGGGAGAAGCAGAAGACTCCCAGGCGGCCACCCCGCATGGTCGTGTCCAAGACCACATTGCTGTCGGCCACCAGCTCAGGGCCCTCATAAAACCGCACTCTGTGGGGAAGAGGAGACAGTGAGGCGGGGCCCTGGGCCAGGCCCTCCCCTCTCAGAGCTTACCTGTCCTGCCCTGGAAGGTGGGACCCCTCCTCTCTGGGAGTGGAGGCCGTGTGCCCCCCTGCCTGGGCCACACAGGGCAGGTGGGGCTCCTGACCTGAGCTTTGGTTTCCCTGTGTGGGAGGGTCCCGCCCAAGGTCCTGCACACAGTAAGTGCTAAGCAGAGCGCCTGGACTTCCTTGTAGTGCAGAGTAGGGACTGAGAAACGGGGAGTGGGCGAGACCCCACCCGCTGAGTGCTGGGTCCTGGGAGAGGTGTCATGCCCCAGAGTCAGACACAGTTAATTCTAGCTGCCAAAATCATTCCCATTTTACAGACGGGGGACCGAAGCCCCAGAACCACCCCTCCCCCAAGGAACCGGGCCAGAGTGGGACTCCTGGTCCCTTGGCCAGTGGCAGCGTCCACACCTGATGTAGCCCACTTGGGGCCGATGCTGCAGGAACCAGCGGTAGGATGTCTTGTCCTTCCAGCCCACGTTGCGGGGGTCCTTCCACAGCAGCCGCACCTGCGACGCTGTGTCCCCTGTGTGCCACAGTGCGTTCCGCAGCTGCTCCCCAGGGCCTGTGGAGGACTTCACAGCCTGCCCGGCCCAGGGACAGGGGAATGGGGTCAGAGACCTCGAAGGCCACCAGAGCCCCTCCGAACCCTGCCTGGTGGGACAGGTGGGGAGCTGTGGGTCCTGGAGGAGTGGTGGGGGGCCCCGAGGGGCCTGGATGGGAGACCCACAAGGAAGCCTTCTTGAGGGCCACATGGAGGTGTGCAGGTGGGTCGTAGGGGGCAGCAGGGGTCTGGGGGCTTGTGAGAGCATTTGGGAATCTGTGGACAGGTTTCAGGTCCGGGAGAATTTGAGGGGTCTGCAGAAGGATTTAGTGACCTATAGGAAGCTTAGGGTGTCCATGGGCTAAACTGGGGTCTAGAGGATTTGGGAAATTTACTGCAGCATTTCAGCAACATACTGGGGTTGAGGGGTCTGCAGGAGGATTTGGAACCTGAGGGAAAGTTTAGGGCTCTGTGAGAGGGTTTTGGGGCCCAAAGGGAGACCCTGGGGGTGTGTTTGAGGGCCTTTGGGAGGAACTGGGAGGATTTGGAGCCTACGGGAGTCCAGGGAAGAGATGGGAGTGGGTGGGGGGACTTTGAGGTCTATAGAATGATGCTGGGGGTCTGTAAAGGCTTTGGGGGTCTGTGGAAGGGTTTGGGACCTCCTGGAGGGTATGGGAACCAAGAAGTCAGGTAGGGGATGGCACCTTCAGCTGGATGCCAGGCTCGGCTACTGCGCGGAAGGGGTTCGCCTGCCAGTATGTCTGCTCCATCTGCTTCCACATGACCACGTAGAAGCTGGAGCTGTCCTGGTAGCCAAAGATGAAGCCCGCATAGTCGTCATCTGTGACCGTGTTCACGTGGAACGTGCCTTCGAAGTCCACGCCATTGAAGGCCGTGTAACCTGCGGAGAGGAGGAGAGCAGTGGGGCTCCAGGACGCTGGCCCCTACCCCTACGAGGGCCCTGGCCCGCCCGCATACTCCTTCCCTCCAGAGACCAACTTGCCGCCTGGACCCAGATGTCCACCCCCCAGCCCCGCCCCAGCCCCCAGCCCTGAGTCCAGACGCAGCCACGCCCCTTGAGCTTCCCGCCTGCCTTGGGCCTCGCTCCTCGGGAGTCCAGAATCACCAGGCCCCGCCTTTCCTGAGTCCAGGCCCCGCCCCGGGCCCGCCCCTGGACTCCCCTCCTTTGCACCGCCCCCTGAGCTGCTACCTACACCGCTGCCCGCTCCCCGTGTCTCACCCACAGCCAGGCCAGGGTCGCTGTTCATTGTCTGCACGATCTCCATCCCCTGATGGGGTCAAAGGAAAAAGAGGCTCAGCCTCAGCGTGGGGGCCCTCGACTCCCCGACCCCAGCTTAGGACCAGCTGTGGGGGTCCTGGGCTCCCTCTACCTCCCACCTGGGCTCTGCCCCACCTGGTTGAGCACCACCCAGTTGGGGTCTATCTGCGCGTCGCCCTCGGGGTCCAGCACGACCGTCTGGAAGGCCCGGAAGTCGGTGAGGGTGACCTCGGCGTTCTCCGGACACACATCGATCTTGTCCACCACCTTGTCCGCGTCGAAGTCGCCCTGGCACACGTCGCCCACGCCGTCCCCTGAGAGGAGGTGAGAGACTCCACCCTAGCGGTAGGGTCAGGGCCAGGCCCCGCCCCGACCTAGCCACGCCCACACCAGCCACCGGTCCTGCCCACACCACGCCTCAGCCCCGTCCACACCTGTCCCTGGCCCCACCACGCCCACCCCAGACCCCGTCCCAGTAACTCCGCACGGGCCCCGCCCCCGCCATAGGCCCCGCCCCCTGCCTTACGGTCCTTGTCTTCCTGGCCCGGGTTGGGCACCAGGCGGCAGTTGTCCCGACTGTCGGGGACTCCGTCGTTGTCGTCATCCTCGTCGCAGGCGTCACCCTGGCCATCGTTGTCTGAGTCCTGCTGGGCGCTGTTGGGCACTGTGGGGCAGTTGTCCCGCGAGTCCTGGTGCCCATCCCCATCCCTAGAGTGAGTGGGTGGGCGGAGAAACATGAGATCCCCGGAAGGCCAGGTCAGGAGCCGCCCACCCTGAGCCCCGACCCCTGCCCCACAAGCCCTTCTTACTTGTCTTGGTCGCTGTCACAAGCGTCTCCCACAAAGTCGTGGTCCACATCCCTCTGTGGGGGGGGATGCAAGGGTCCACGATCAGGGCAGAGGAGCCCAGAAGCCTCCGGCCCACCCCCAGTTCCAGAGCCAAGGTCCTCCTGACCCCAGCTGCTCAGACTGGGCTGCAGTCTCATTAACCAGCCTGGGGTTGGTTAGCCTGCACCCACCTGGTCTGGGTTACTCTTCTGGGGACAGTTGTCACAGACATCCCCTACACCATCACCATCACTGTCCTTTTGGTCTGAGTTGGGCACCCTGGGGCAGTTGTCCACCGTGTTTCGGATCCCTGTGGGAAGCAGGGGGGCAGGACAAGACTCCAGTGGGGCGGGGCCAGGCTGACTGCAGCAGGGGAGGTGCGGGCCTGGGGCCAGGCTAGGACAGAGTCCCATCCCTCACCTGGCTCACAACAGCTGCAAAGTTAAACCAAGGACCCATGCCTGGGCCCCAGCCTCGTGGAGACTTAATGAATGGGCAGCAGGCAAGGGTGCTGGCCCTCACTCAGGGGCAGCCCAGCTGGGCCCTCCCCTTGCCCTGTGAATGCACCACCCTGAGCCTCTGTGCTGCAGGTGTAAAAATGGCACCTCCCTGACCCTGAATCCCAGGCTCTGTCCTTCTCTTCCTCCCTGCAGCATCTGACACAGGGGTCACCTTCTTCTTCTGCAAACGTTCCTGCCTTCTCCCTTCGGCCTCGTGTCCCAGCTTGCATTTTTCCATCCATGGTCCCTGGCGCCCTAGGCGACCCCGGCTTCCAAACCGGCAGAGCCCCGCCCCTCGGTGCCTCACCACCACCACCCCCGCGCTCACGGTCGCCGTCGATGTCGTCGTCGCAGGCGTCGCCTCGGCCGTCCTGATCTGTGTCCTTCTGGTCGTCGTTCTTCTGGGACCGGCAGTTGTCGCATGCATCGCCCCACTTGTCGCCGTCCACATTACTCTGGTCTGGGTTCCGCACCAGCGGGCAGTTGTCCTGGGGCACAGAGCCGGTTAAGGGGGAGGTCAGGCCAAGAAGGGCAAAGGTCACACCCCAGACAAGCCCGTCTCCAAGGTCCCGCCGCCTTGCAAGGAACCCCTCATCCCTCTGAGACCAGCAGTCCAGCCTCTGAGGCCACGCCCCATCCAAGCCACGCCCAGGTCCCGCCTTTGGCCCTACCCCCTCGTTGGGGACTCCGTCCCCGTCGGCATCCGGGTCGCAGGCGTCTCCGATGCCGTCGCGATCCGCGTCCTCCTGCCCTGAGTTGGGCACCGTCACGCAGTTGTCCTAAGGGTGGACACGGCGGACATGAGGGACGTGGCCTGGAGCCCCGCCCACGCGCACACAAACCACGTCCTCCCGGCCCGCCCACCTTGCGGCACTGGCGCTCGGAGCAGCGCAGCTTCTCATCCGGGAAGCCGTCCAAGTCCGTGTCGCGGCCGCACAGGAGACCGTTGCCCGCCCAGCCGACGGCACACTGCGGGTGAAGGAGTGAGTGGGTGCCCCGGAGTGGCTGCCCCCCGCGCCCTCAATCCCCGCCCCTCCTGGCCCGCGCGCACTCACCACGCACGATCGCGAGCCATCGCGCTCCAGGACGCAGTCGGCCTTCTCGTGGCATGGGCTAGGCGTGCCGTCGGGGCAGAAGCGCTGTGCGCGCGGACGGCAGCCCGACGCCTGGTCGCCTACGAAGCCGGGCTGGCACGGGCCGCACTGGAAGGAACCCTGCGCCCGAGTCTCAGTCAGCCCGGGCCGCCTGCCACTTCGCGCCGCACCCCGCCCCCGTCGCTCGATCCTTCCCCTCTCCTCCTGGGCCTTACCGGGGTGTTGATGCACACGGAGTTGGGAACGCAGTTATGCTGCCCAGTCTCACACTCGTTAATGTCCGTGCAAACCTGGGTGGGAGGGAGCGCAGAGGTAACCGCCCCCACGCAGACACCCCCGAACCTCCCACGAGGCTCACATTTCCTCTGCATCCTACTTTTCCCTTCCATCCTGCCCCCAACCCTGACGCGGACCCTTCCTCTCTCCATCCGCCAGACCTTGGTCCCCACCCCCTCGCGCTGCAGCAAGGCGGGGAAAAGGCTTCGAGGCTAGAGAACGCGTTACTCAACAAAGTGCGCCCCCCATCTCCTCCTAGCGCCTCCCCCCCACGGCCCTCACCTGCTTGTTGGCCTTGGCGAAGGCCATCCCCACGCCCTCGTGGGTGGGGCCGCTGTACCCGGGAGGGCAAGCCTCGCAGCGGAAACCGGGGCTAGTGTTGATGCAGCGGACGCGGGGAAAGCAGGGGTTGGCGTTGCACTGGGGGAGGAAGGGCCACGGGGGGTCAAGGGCGCGGATCTGGGCCCCCCGAGAGCAGCGCCTCAGGGTTTCTTGGGCTTGGACTTAGAAGGCTCCACGGTCATCAGCCAGCACTTGGAGGGGGGTGCCATGTGGGACGGAGGCCATCGTCCCACGAGTCAGATGCGACTTTGCCTTGATGGGGGCAGGGGCGCGACCAAGCTGGGAGAGGGGCGTGTCTGGAGGGGGCTGTTCTTGCGACCCCGTGGGTTGGGTACTCATGGGTAGGGAAAGGAATTGTGAGGGCGGGCGTCCCCAGCGGAAGGGGGAAGTGGTCGTTGGGGCGTGCGTGCCCGGCGGTGGGGGGGTCGCCGAGGCAGGCGCCCCGAGGTGGTGGAAGGGTTATTCGAGCTAGCGAGCCCTGGAGGCACCAGGTCAGGTGAGGGGGGTCGTTGAGGCGGACCACTCTCGGCGGTAGGAGAGTCGTCGGGGCGGCCGTCACTGGCGATGGAGGGGGTCGGTGGGACGCGCGTCCCTGGTGGTGAGGGAGGTGGTTGGGGTGGGTGCCCCCCGACGGTGGAGAGATCGTCTGGACGTGCACTCCCGGCGGTGAGGGGGTCCTCCGGGCGAGTACCCCCAGCAAAGGAGGTTGTTGGGGCTGTGGGGAGTTGTGGGGGCAGGCGTTGGGGGATCGTCGGGGCAGTAGGGGGCGGGCGCACCTCGTTGACGTCGGCGCAGTATGAGCCGTTGCCTGTGAAGCCCGCGGGGCAGGGTCCGCAGCGCGCGCCGCTCGCGGTCTGGGTGCAAGCCACACCAGGGAAGCAGGAGCCCGGCGCGCACTGGGATACGGGCCGCACGCTCAGGCTGGGGGTGCGCGCGGGCTGCATCCCTGCGGGGGGCGGGGCGGGACTGGTCACGGCCACGCCCCGGGGCGGAGCTAGCAGGACCACGCCCCGCCCCCCGCCCCGCGCTGCGCGTTCCGCTGGCCAGGTCTCTCCAGTTACTGCGGTCTCTGCCTCTCCGCGTCCGTCCGTTTTCTGCTTCTCCCTCCGCGTCTCTCCACCTCCCTGCATCTCTCCCACGACCTCTGGCTCTTTTTGTGTCTCCCCCTCCCATAGTCTCTGTCTCCCCTCCCTGTTCGTCTCTCTCCGTCCCTCATCCAATCTCCATCTGGGTCGGCCTCCTTCTCTTCCTCCGTCTCTCTTCCTCCCGGTCTTCCCTTCGCTGTTCGTCTCTGTCTGTCTCCCCGTCTCTTCTCGCTCTCCTGCCCGCCCTGTCTCTGCTACCCCAGCTGCGCTCACCGCACGCGTCACACTCCATCACCGTGTTTTTCAGGAACGTGATCTCCTTGACCTGCAGTGCAGGGAGTACGGGGCGTGCTCAGCGGGCCTCACCCCTCTCCTCCCTCGGGTGTCCCCTCTCCTTCCCCCAGACTCCCTTCCCACAGACCCACCCACTCCACTCGCACTCCCTACCCCCAGACTCCCTACCCCGCCAGCCCCTCTTCTCCTTCCCTGGGACTTCCTACCCTCTCAAGCACTCCTACCCTCTCCGCGGAACCTTCTATTCCTGCCCCCCCTTTCCCTCTTCCTTTTCCACAACCCCTTCCCAGGTCCTGGTAAGGGGGTCTTACCCACCTCCACCGGGACCCCCTTCTCCCCGACGCTCCTCTACTTCCGAGGCCCCCTCCCTCTCTCCCAGGCCTCTCTCCCCTCTCCCGCACTCCCTGTCCCCCACCCCGGCCCCCACCTGCTGCCGCAGCAGCTCCCGCACGTCCTGCAGCGCCGCGTTGGTCTCTTGCAGTTCGCGCAGCATCTGCGGGCCCAGGTCTGTACCTGCGCCGACAGGGGGCGCGGGTGGGGCGTCTGGGCTCGAGGACCCCCACCACCACTCACTCCGCCGCCGCCGCAGGGACCCCGGACGCCCACCTCCTTCCTGAGCCTCCGCCCCGCACGCCCCCGCGAACAGCCCCGGAGCCCCAAGGAGCCGCGACCCCAGGTCCTCCTGTCCGTTTGGGGGTCCGGCACACACCGCGGGGGAGGGCGCAGCTTACCCAGCGGGATCTGGCCCTGGCCGGATGCGCCGAGGGCGGCCAGGGTGATGAGGAGAACGCAGGCGGCGGCGAGAACCATGACGGCGACGGGGAGCTGGACGGAGGCTCTCTCTCTGCCGCCCACGAGGCCTGCGGGGCCTATTTATCCCGGCAGCGCGGCCGGCCCCAGGGACGGCCCACCACGGCCCTGCCCAGCGTCCATCCGCAAGGTAAACAGATGGCACTGGCCTCTGCATTCAAGGCCCCGCCCGACGCGGCTGAACCCGGACCCGGCGGGGAAACTGAGTCACGGGGAGCCTGTGCAGGGGTCGGTGGGGCGGTGAGTCAGGTGGGACCACCCTTCATCCCTCTCATTCACTTATTTATTGAGTGCCTGATGTATGCCAGGACTGGGGCATAGCTGGGAAGGAGAGGATCCCCATGGCGGCTCCCCTCAGCTCACACTTGGGGAAACTGAGTTAACAGCTGCTAAAGATCAGGACCCACCTCCACTGGCCACCCTGCTTTAGGTCAGGCTGGCTGGCCCTTCCCTCCCTCCTCACTTGCTTCAGAATGGGGCAAATGATGTCTTTCTGTGCCTCAGTTTCCTCCCCTGCACAATGGAGGTATAAGTATCATTGTTGACGGTGGTGATTGTTATTACAGGAAAAGGAAGGATCAAGTGAGAGCAGGGACCCTCTGTCTTCCTGCCCAGGTGCACAGGGGCTTTCTCCTGGCCCCCCTCCCCAGAGAGTTGCCAGTGACTGTAGGCACCCCTTTCTGGTCTTGTGTCTCTGTGATTCTCTGGATGGGGTGGGGGCAGCCTGGTCTCCCAGGGGCCGGGAGCCCACTCAGCTTCCCAGTCTGTGCGATGGCCTGTGCCTGAATCCACCTCCGGGGGCGGGGGCGGAGAGCAAATCAACGGGCTCTGCTGGCCGAGGTCTGGGGGGGCCTGGGGGTTCTGTTTGTAGAGCCTTTGCCATACCTTCCAAGCTCCGCTCCAGCTGCTGTGGGAACAGCCTGTAATAAAAATAAAAATTACTGCTAATCAGGAAAATCGTCCCTCCCAGCCCAGCCGCACTTGAGCTACAAGACACCTCAGCTTTCTGGAGTTAACCCTCTCCACCTCCACCCTCCAGTGCTTGCAGCCTCTATTCTATAGACGGGGAAACTGAGGCTCAGAGAGGGAATGTGACTAGCCTAAGGCCACTGCAGGGGGCAGGGGTGAAGCCAGGGTAGGGTCATAGTCAGATCTGTTCTCCTGGGAGGCTGCAGAGAAGTCATCGAGGGCTTCCTGGAGGAGGTGGCAAGGAAACCTAAAGGAAAGAGAGGACACAGATCAGCAGAGGGAAAAGGAGAGGACAGTTCTGACAGGGAAGTGTTTGGAGCTTGGATGTGGGGAAATTTCAGGCACATTCATTTATTCCGCAAATGTGCATTGAGTACCTACTGTGTGTTGTGTCCTGTGCTGGGCACAGGGACACAGGGTGAACAAGCCAGGCTGGGCCCTTCCCTCATGGGGAACCCAGGTCACTGGGGAGGCAGCTATATAATCACCAAAAGGTGCCAGGGCTGTGATGGGGGACGCACAGGCAGTGGTGGGAGCTCCAAGGACCAGGAAGATGAGGAGGACATGGCCAGCAAAGAAATGGTGGAAAGGCCTTCTGGGTAGAGGAACAGCATACACAAGACCCTGAGGCAGACATGAGCCTGGTCTGCTAGATGGACTGATCTCAGGGTAGAGATTTCTTGGGGCTCAGGAGAAGCAGTGCTCGTGGTGTGGGGCTTGGGCTGTCTTCTGAGGGCAATGGGGAGCCACAGAGGGTGAGTGAGGAGGGGTGGGCCTGGAGGTGAGGCTGGGTGAGAACAGCTAGCCCCAGCCCAATGTCTCCAGTGAAGCCCGTGCCCTGACAGTGCCCGCCTTGCCTGCTGCCTGCCACCGGGCCATGAGCTCACCTCCTGTTTTCCTTGGCGTCCAGCACACCTGGGGGCCGTTCCTGGCTGGCGCTGGAATTCTTGGGAAAACCACGACTCCGGCAGGGCCTGTGGGCTTGTGTGTGCCTCATGCAGCTGAGACAAGGGCACATGGAAGCCAGGCCTCTGCCACAGGCTGGGCACGGGGCTGAAGCTTGCACACACGTGGCCTTGATCATGGCCATGGGGAGACTTGGGGAAAGGCGTTCCAGGCAGAGGGAATGGAAAAGGCAGAGGCCCTAAGGAAGTCCCAGCTTGCAGATCAGACAACAGAGGCCCTGAGACAGTCTAGTTTCATGCTCCCGGCTCCTCAATCCACCAGCCCTGAAATCCCCCTTCCAAGCAGCCGCTCCCTCCTCCCATGCACACCACACCAGCCTTACGTTACAGAATAACTCACTTTAGGTGTCCTTCCCGGCCGTTGTACCTGCTGTTCCCCACCACCCCAAATATCTTCCTCCATCCTTCAAGTTTCAGCTCTGACGCCCCCTCCTCCAGGAGGCCCTCCTTGCTCTTGCTGGGCAGGGCTCAGGGGCTGGTGCCTGTATGACAGTCGCCTGGGACCCCTGGCAAAGTATTCTTGGCAGAGAAGGTTGGGATGGCCTGACCCCAGGGACTAGGAGTGCTCTGTCCCTCCCAGCCTGGGGCCCCTCGGGGGCCTGTGCTGGTGCAGAGGGGGAAGGCTGGAGGGTTTGGTGAGCCATGACAGCGCCTGCTAGGATTAGTGTGACATTATTATTCCTTAGAATTAATGTAGCATCATTCCTACCAATAATAGTAACCCCTGCCACCACTGGACCTTAGGACAGACTCAGGGGCCACATGGCCAGGCACAGCCTTGCTGTGTGACCTAGGGCAAGTCGCTTGACCTCTCTGTGCCTCAGTTTCCTCACCTGTAAAATGGGGGTGATAGTTGTGAGAGGATAGTTATTGAGAGGATTGAATGAGCTAACCTGTGCCCACTGTCTGGCTGCAGTGTTAGCCTCATTATACAACGTGGAACTTAGACGCTGTGCCTCAGATCATTCTTATTCACATTTTCCTCAGAGAGGAGACGAGACAGCTCAAGGTCACACAGCTGGGGTTAGAACTGGGGAAGGTGGGACCCCTAAGGCCTTCACACCCCCTCCCTGCCCTTGGCCACAGAATCCAGACTAGAAATGCTGGCCCGGGCGCCTCATTAGCTGTGCAGACTCTGTTGCCTGGGACCTCCTGGCCTGAGCCTTTGGCCAGCGCCCCAGCCAGCCCCCCTTCCCACCATGCCAGACCCAGTGGTTCCAGGAGCCCGGCCAGGCAGGGGTAGAGGGGCCGGGGCCTGCGTGATGGGGCCCCCAGGCCCTTCCTGGCAGAGCCCTGCTGGGCCAGGAGACATGTGGGCGCCCTCAGCTCGCCCAGCCACCTCCCCTTGTGAATTCAGGGGGAAAGTATGTCGGGACGGCAGCCGCCCTGCCCTGGGCGGGCTGGGCTGCAGGCCCAGGGTCTGGGGAATTCATCAGGGCAGTGAGGGAGGCCACTTGGCCACTGCTTCATCCATAGCTGAGGAGCCTGACCCAGTCTGCCTCGGACGGCCCCACTGGACCCGTCTCTCCACAAGGACCAAGTAGCCAGGGGGTGTTGGGGGGCAGGGTGCCAGCAGGCACTGGAGTCTGGCAGGCCCACTTGCTCTGTGACCTTCAACAAGCCCTGCCTCCTCTCCACCCTTCATTTGCCCCAACCCTGTCCCCATTCCATCCTAGGCTCCCCAAAAGGTGATGACAAACAAAGAAGATAACAATAAATATAGTGGCTACAATTTTATGGAGCAAGTGCCAAATGCTCGAAAGCTTGCCGTGCCACTTTTGTGAGTTTTCCTTTTCTGTCCGCCGCCACCCTCCGCAGCCCCAGGAGGCAGGACCTCATTAATCATGGGAGGCAGCAGGCACAGCGAGGAAGGTCTTGGTCTCTGGCACTGGGGCCCTAAGTTTCACATCCCAGCTCTGCTGTGGGACCTGAGGCAAGTTGCTTAACTTCTCTGTGCCTCAGTTCCTTCCTTTTTTCTTTTCTTTTTTTTGGGGGGAGGGAGGGGCCACCTTCAGAAGTTTATTATAGTGTAAATTTTTGCTTCTCAAGGTTAGCCAGCCTACTGAAGAGTTGCTTCAGGAGAGAAGGAACTTCGCTGGGAACTGACTGGAATTTAATGATGTGGCATCCAATGGATGTTGGTGTCTAAGAATGATTTTACACAGCCGCTGCCTTCTTAATTTTCCAGGGATGACTGCGGCAGGACAAATGACCACCTTGGTGTTCTCTCCTTTCCTCTCACACTTAATGACAATTTTGTAGGTAAGAGTAAAACAAATCTGTATTGTTTTACAGATGTATTAGAGAGAGACTGCCTGCTGGGCTAACTACAGAAATATTGTTCTCTCCCTCAGTCTCTCTCTCTCCGTCTAAGGAAGTGAAAAATAGAAATGCCTAAAGTTTTATACAACGTAACAGTAGCTGTAACAACCAAAGTGAAAATGGAGACCATAAGAGCCCCTATCTCTTAGGGTCGTCATGAGACCTGAGTCAGTTAGTCCATGAGAAGTGATGAGCCCTCGATGTTGGTGGCTGTTAACGTCCCCACTCTACAGACAGGCAAACTGAGGCTCAGCGACACAGGTTCGTCCTGTCATCTCAATTTGGGCACTGGATGCTCAGAGAGGGAAGTCACATCCTCCCTCCCCTCCCCATGAAGGCACACAGCCTTGCCGCAGGGAGAGGGTCCCCCACCCAGGTTTCTGCAGCTCTGTCTGGGGAGGGTGGGTGGGTGGGCAGCAGAGAGCACAGGCACCAGAGTCCTGCCCCCGATTCCTCATCCTCCGCCTCCTGCCACTCTCCAGCCCTCACCCCGGGCTCATTAACAGGAGGCCCTTGTTCAGGCCAGTGATGGATGGCGCAGGCGACTGAGGGCGCGGTGTGTTTACCCACCGGCAGCCTGGCGGGCAGAGGCCCAGGCTGGGGCACGGGTCAGTGGGGGAGGGAGGCTACCGGACAGGGAGGAGCCCCAGCCCCAAAGTGTGAAGGCTGGCACACAATAGGCGCCAAATAAATGATTGTCGATCAGTGGGATGAAATTAGATAACTTCACCAACTGGCCATTGACGCTTCGTCACACAGCCACCGGGACAGAGGT